TTTAGTGGCATTTGTGACTCTCACCTTCGAGCCGTTGGGTATAAGTTCTAAAGTTTTGGTCAATTGTCCACTGGCATCGTAAATTTCCTCCACAAAATATAATTCCAAGGAGTCGGTAGTATCTAAATCGGTATCCAATATATATTTGATTTTCGATAGATATAAATCGGGATCATCTTGTTCGAAATACTATAAGGAATTTTGAAAAATAAATTAAAAAATTGTTTGCTTTTTAATTGGGAATCAGCTTACCTTATAATGTACTCTTAAACCTATAAGTTGTGCCAGAAAGGATCTGGTAAAACGGGCTCTCACCAACTGGCGATAGGTACCACCTAAGGCACTTTCATATAAACATTTGCCCACTATTTTGCCAGCAAATTCAAAATGCTTTAGTTTTAGATGAGGCGGTCTATGTGGATTGGGATGCACTAAAGCCTGATGTTTATCATGGAAACTACAAAATAAACCACCACGAGGATCGAATAAAGCACTACATATGAGTTCAAACCATTCACGGCGCAAGCCGCCCCAATCAATGCCTATACGGAAGAAATATTAGAAAATCTAATACTTTTTGGAAATCGGAATAAATTTACCTTGTTCCCCCTGAAACGTCACCTCAAAATTGCCACACCAATCGGACACAGAGAAGTTTTTCGTGGCCTTCATGCTGCTCTCCAAAATTTTCTCTCTTTGCACTTTTAAAGCCAACTTCTCGTGATAATAATTCGCATGAAATTTCCTTACTTCATGATAAAAGAAATCCTGTTTATCTTTAAAGGTTTCCGAACCTCCAATATTTTTCAGCAAAAAGTGAGTAAATGTGGCCGCTATAATATTACGATCACGTGAGGCTAATTCTATTTTCGGTTGAGCACCATCGTCTATAATGAAAATAGGACCATGAACGTGTGTGGGTAGTTGGGGTAGAAAATGGAATTTGGTCGAGGGGCAAAGACGAAATGTTGCCACACGTTTGGGTATAAATTTTAAGATCATTTCTTTGATTGTAACCTGAAATATTAAAGAGTTCTTTTAGATTTTTCAGAAGACATCGATAAGTTTTATATGAAAGCGACTCCAAGGAGACTCACTTGTTTCGGTCCCACATAGCAGAGCACTTTGCGAGGCTTGGACTTGGCCACACCGAATATACTTAAGAGTTTTGCCTCATAGCAAATGTTGTGTTTACGTGAAGCGATATTTTTATGCACCAATGTGGTGTCACTACCTGGAATTTCATTAATTTGAGATCAACATTTTGGGATATATAATTTCGGGACTTACTGCTTAATACTATAATATCAAAGTCACCATTGGGTAGCTTATGTTCCAAGTAACTTATAACAGCACGCAGACAAATGGGTTCGGGAAATAAAGCAGTGACGGCTACGCGAGCATTTACCCGGTCATAGGAAAAGGCAATGGCATTACGTAACTTTTCCAAGGGCTGGCCATGCAAATCATAGATTTCTACATGATAACCCTAGAAATATATGGAATCACATTTGAACGAAATGATCAACTATAATTTTTATTTAACTAACCTTTCCCGGATCTTCATTCTCCTCAAACTGACAGGCATTGCCAAATTCATCTCTTGGCTCGATATGCAATAATGTGGGCGAACCGGCACAACATATCACCGTACTGGCGGGTCTTATAAATCTCGAACGCCGCGCATCTATACTGCCCGGTATGAAATTTTTTATAAACGGTGAACCTGCAATATGGCTGGAGCCAATCATTACCGATATTTTATATTGACCCGCTGTGCGTACGGTAAATTTGACTTTAGCTATATTTGCATTATTCGGATCTGTTGGTGAGCCCAATTCACTAATGGTAACCATTTTGCGTGTTCCCTCGGTAACTTCGACGAAAAACTGATCTGTATCACAGATGGGATAAGGCTGGCCATTACGTTGATAGAAACGCACCACAAAGCACATGGTGCCACCCACAACGGCGGGGTCTTTCCAGTCCCATTGTACCTTACAGTTAGCCGGCAGTAGATATTTACCCGTTACATATTGCAGCAATGAATGACGTGCTTCGGGTGCCAAAGAAGGTTGGGTCATGGCGGCAAGAGTCACTAAGCCCGCCACAGAAACCGATACCACCAACATGCCTCCCCAAGTCCAGGCATCTTGATGTTGTGATGATTTCACTACGGTAGACCATAGTTGTGCTTTTAGGGCATCTAGCTGAGCCTTGGAGGTTGGTAAATTTTGTCTGGCCTGTGACCAAACTTGCCAATCTTTGCCTAATATTTTACTAGCTCTAGAATCTTCCAACCAATAGACATCTTCGAGGGAAGCTACCTCAACGTTGAGTAATCGTTGATAGTGATGTTGAAGACGATGATCTTTAAGCCATTCGCGTAAGATAAGTTTCTGTTGTAAGTGTAATGCGGCTCTTTGTAGGCGTTGCTCATCGCCGGGCGGCAGTTCTGGTAGGCGTTCCGGATCGCCACAACTTGAGAGAGATGATATGCCTGAAAGATACAAGAAAAATAATTGATAGGTGAGTTTTTTTGGCGATGAGAAAATTAAATATTTCTAACTTTCGAGATTTATTAAATATTATCTCGGGGAAATGTTTTATAAATCCTAAGGATTTTTTGATACACGGGCCCTTTGAAGTAATGTGTGTATTGCGATTTTCGTTTGTTTAATGTCCACAAAAAGCTTCTCCCCCAAAACACAAATGGAAATGTAATTAACAAGAAAATTATTGCGAAAACGTAACATAATTATCGACAAAGTAATATTTACAAGTACTTTCAGCGGCGATAATAATTACCTTAGTCCTTAAAAATAAAATTACCTAAAAGTATAGTTAATGGTCTCAAAAGGAAAACATAATACTTTAGAAAACTGCCAATCAATTAGAAGTCAAAGTAATTTATAGCGCCACTGAAATCACAGTATTATTTATTACACACTTTATACGATGAAAAAAGGACATTTTCAATGAAGTTTTTAACAAAAAAAAAATACACCATTTCCAATTGAACTTGTGATTTAAACTTTTTTAAATAAAATGGAACGAAACGATATAACTATAAGAAAAGGGTAACCACAATTAATAGTCTCTTAAGGATCTTAATCGTTCAAGGTCGAGGCGGCACTAAACACGACTTTCGATCGGTCCCAATCAAGATGTTTGAATCTTTAGATTCTGTTTTTTACAAGAAATACATAAGTTTCTGCCTATACTGAACGCCGGTTCTTGGACAGGGCGATATCAGCAACCGACAAAGTTGAATACCTGACGTATTTTTTGATCGAAAATTAAATTGGAAATATCCCATTAAGGATATAATCAACAAAGCATATCGATGTAGGGCGCTATGTAACCACCATAAGCTCGAAATGGTATCATATCCGAAGCGTAATGAGGCCAATCCCAACTTACGCTTATAATATCGTGGAATTTTCGGAATCTGTGAGACATTGGTCCCAGATAGGAGATCGTGGACAAGTGGAACAGTATAACAAACTTTTGCTGTAATCTGTTGTTATGCATGATTCTAAACTGAGAAATAAAATGGTTCTAGGGACCTACATTGAAAACACTTAAACTGATATTTTCCAAAATTTCCTAATCACAAGATTATCTAATCCTGAAGACAATTAAATCTCTATTGGGATGTAAGAAAGACATAAATAAATAAGCTTTCAGTGGTAAGCTCTAAATTAAATGGGTACCAGGTCACTCGGGTATAATCGGTAATTGAATGTACTCTCTATAAAGGGAAGGAAGCTATTGTACTTCTATGGAATTTCCGGAATCTGTGAGACATTGGTCCCAGATGGGAGATCGTCGACAAGTGGAACAGTATATCAAATTCTTGTTGTAATCTGTTGTTATGCATGACTCTAAACTGAGAAACAAAATGGGTCTAGGGATCTACATTGAAAACTCTGAAACTGATATTTTCTAAAGACTTCCTAATTACAAGACTATCTAATACTGAAGGCAATTAAATCTCTATTGGGCTGTAAGAAAGACATAAATAAATAAGCTTTCAGTGGTAAGCTCTAAATTAAATGGGTACCAAATCACTCGGGTATAATCGGTAATCGAATGTACTCTCTATAAAGGGAAGGAAGCTATTGTACTTCTATGGAATTTTCGGAATCTGTGAGACATTGGTTCCAGATAGCAAATTCTTGTTGTAATCTGTTGTTATGCATGACTCTAAACTGAGAAATAAAATGGGTCTAGGAATCTGCATTGAAAACTCTGAAACTGATATATACTACAGTCTTCCTAATTACAGTTCTGAAGGCAATTAAATCTCTACTGGGCTGTAAGAAAGATATAACTAAATACGCTTTCAGTGATAAGCTCTAAATTATATGGTTACCAGGTCACTTGGGTATAATCGGTAATCCAATGAACTTTCTATAAAGGGAAGGAAGATTGAGGGAGTGAAACTAACAATGGCAAAGATATTGCATCCTACTGGAACAATGATTGGAACATTTTAGGGAACTATGACGAGGAAGCGGGCGATAACTCTTCTCATATTTCACTATATACTTTTTTTTACTTTTTTCTATGAAAAGGAGCGCAAAACAGGCCCGATAGCTGTATAGTTGATAGGTGTATCATGTTTGCTGAATAATCGATATATTTATGGCTGTTTTAAATGTGTTCTAGATGGATTGCACTAGGCTGTAAAGGAACCACGGATGAAAGTATCAGTATTGTAAAAGCTCCCTAAGCTTTCAATGGGTGTGTCAGCTAGACCAACGATGTCAAAGCAGACATAAAAAAGGATGAATTCTCTCTCCTATGTATTAGATGAAGTTCTGTTACGAGGTAGATATCTGGTGCCTTAAACAGACGCCTAAAAGATCTTGAATATGTAGGTGAAATTTGTCTCCTCATTATGGGGAAACTTAAGGCGTTACAGGCAGAGGCGGCAAAAGAAGATCTTATAATCAACATCGTAAAGACAAAGGATATATTTATGTCTGCTTTCTTTATCTATAACACTAGACTGGAAAGCGATGACCTGCTGTTACCTTCGCTGTCTGCTAATTAATCCTTTTGGCGTCTCCATCACGTTCAATATTTATATAGTTCAAGTCCAAGATCAATATATTCTACTCATTTGTTAAGTTAACACTTTGATAGGGGTGTGAGTTATGAAATGCTGTTATAAAGAATATGAACGCAGTCCAGGTCTTTGTGAAGCTCTGCCTGTGGAGAATCTTGAGAATATTTTCGCTTGAAACTATTTCAAACCAAAGACTATGGGAGAAAACGAGCCAAATTTCGATCAAAGAAGATAACCTAAGTGGAAAATGACAATAGATTGGCTATACATTAAGGAAAGCTGACCAAGACATTACCAAAACTGCAATTTAATGGAAGGAAGTCGTAGACAACTAACTTAATGATCTAAATGAAATCAATTTGTTATGGAATTACGATCTTACCAGATTCTAAAGGAAATAGTAATACTAATAACTATATTCCGGAGGGCCACTTGTATGGGGGCTAGGTGAAATCGAGAACCGATTTGTCAAACCATGCTTATCAGTGGAAAATGTTCGGTCCTTTTGTTTAGGCTCTATCGTGTCTACAATAGACAGATGGACGAACAAGACAAAATCGTCGTGGAATCTAACAAGGAACCAGATTATAGTTTTTTGGGTCTATGATCAATGTGTTCCAAAATATATAAAATTTTTTGGTAAAATTTATGTATTATTTTAACTCCTTGACAGATCTGGTTTTTGAAATTCAAACAGAAGATTCCCAATTATAATGAATGAAATGGTGTAGTAGTAGTGCTATTTATAGTTAAATACTACTATTAACTATTAGGTAAAACGAAGGGGACAAAAACAAAGAGACGCAAAAAAGTAGCGTTATGAACTTTAAGTAAAAAAAACTTCTTACAAATTATAAAGTTACGTGTTTTGTTGTTTTTATTTCAATTACAATAACATTGTAGTATAGAGAAAGGATTTGAATGTTGATTTTTCCTTTTTATGATAGACTTCCATTATACGTTTTTAATATATGCGGGTGTTTACGTATGGATTGCATGTTCCATTAGTTTTCGTAGGTAGTAAAGGCAACCCTTTTGGACCGTGTATTGTTATTCGGAAGAGTTCTATTTGTTACCGGGATAAGTCATTTAGGAATTTAATGCTTTCAAAATAATCTATATTAGAGTCACTTTTGTATAATCTAGCTTAGAGTCACTTTTGTGCCTCCCAGTAATGTACACAGTAGTCAGTTTAAAACGTTTTAAAACTCATTTAAAAACTAATTTACTTTACTAAGTAACCTGTAGTGATCCTAAATCATCAATTGTTGTAACAGATTCTCTGTGACTGGATGTTCTTCCCCAGGGAAAAAAACTTTAGCTGTTGCTGAGTTGACAATCTCTGACCGATTGGAAAAATCACGTCCTTCCGGACAGCAAATCCAACTGTCGTGGGAATGAAACATTAAGTACCGTCATCAAATCACTAGTTCGTCTGCATATCTTCCAATACTGCCGAGATATGCCTTAAAGTTCCTCTGTGTAGGTGTTGTATTTTTAATTTTTCTCCAGTTTAATTTTCGTGACTATGATGACGATAATGATGATGATGATTTCATATCGCTAAGTGTCGTCGTCTATGAAGTAGTGGAAAAATGGCAGTTAAAATAACAACGAAATGAAATGTCAGTTTCATTTTAATGTTGTTGTTATTAGTTTGTTTTTATAACACTACGTATGTAGGTACTATAAAGTAAAAAATCCAATCAGTGTAAATGTTAGAACCAAGGTTGGCGGCTAACAATGTAGTCATAGAGAGTAGTTATAAAAATGACACATACATACATATGTATGTATGAAAATATAATGTGCATATCAAATATTACAAAAGGGAGTTACCTACTCCCACACTAACTAGCACACAGTGATGGTCAGCGAAAAGCGAACAAAAATTTAATTTTTAAACTATTTGGACTAGTTAAATTTATTGGTACTATAGGATGGGAGAGAGTATGTAATTTCCTTGAAAATAAATTTCTGAATATCTTTTCTGTTCCTTTTTCAAAATCAGATATTAATGATTTCAAAATCTAATATTAATGATAATGGAATGATTTTCGAGGGTTAGTTCCAAGTTTAACTATTTTAGAGTTATTGCAACATTAGCTACGTGTTGTTAACATGTTCATATAGTGTTGCATGTTAACAAAGGTTTATATGTGTTTGTATGTTTATTAGGAGTATACCATACATATCTTCCCTTATTTGAGTGGACTTGTGAATTCTGTGGTCTCCGAGAGTATCAAGCAATATTTCTAACAAATCAATTTAAACACATCTTTGAGATAGTACCAGATATTTAGGGTCTCTTGACGAGCGAGGCAAATGTAAAAAATTGAGTTCACAGGGTGAGCTAGAGACAAATCACCGTCGCCCCTTTGTGCCTTGCAAAGTACAAAGTTCCGCCGATCCATGTACAAGCA